GTTTTTTTTTTATTTAGAAATCTCTCAGTCAGAACATGACATATAATGTTTGGAAACTAGCGAGCTAACTTCCTGCTAACTTCTAACTCCATTAAATTTAATAAATTCTGTTTTCATGGATGCCTGGATGTTAAACTTAATAGTTACAGCTGGTAAATGTTGCAACGCTGATCATTTTATTAAAGATGAAAGACTTTAGACAGTTTTTAACTCAGTGATGCAGCAGTGTTCATTTGACTTTGGGACCTGAAGCGGATGGAGTTTTGGACCCAGATTACTCCAAATCCGCAAGGCTCCTGACTACAGTAGCCGTAAAGCCGTTAAGTTGTTCTAAACCATTTTTTTACAGATTTTTGAACTTCGTGTATCACTTAAAATCGGTTCGAGGTCTGTAAGCACAATCAGAATTCATACATAAAGCCCACCGGATTATAAAGCCACTGTCAATTTTTGAGAAAATTAAAGGATTTTAAGTGGGCCTTATAGTGCAGAAAATATGGTAAATGAATTGAAATACAATTTCTTTTCTACTACAATGATCTGCCCTCATATGCTTGTACATGGGTTGAAACATGTACAGAGAATGGGGGGTGAAAAGAGGAACTGCAGAACTGATACAGTTGTCTGTGAAGATTCTCAGTAATAAAGGTTATCGTAGTCTAAGGAGCTTGGAAAAAAAGCGTCTGGACATCCTTAAGTTCCTTGAAGAGGTTTCACCTCGCATTCGAGAAGCTTCTTCACTTCTAAGTGCAATTGGTGGAGAGTCCCAGATTTTAAGCCCTACGGGAGTGTCCGCAAGACGGTCATGGCCCCCCTTTTAGAGAAGTCCAGACGCTGTTCTTTCCAAGCTCCTTGGACAACTGATACAGTTGTTACTGTTATGCAAGGCTGGAACTTGGTACTTACAATAGGCAGCATCCGAGGAGTGTTAGAAAACAGTGATAAAGGTCTCCAGGAAGGGAAGAGGAAAGGAATGTACCGCCCATTCATTTTTACTGTGACTTATGAGCACATAAATTTCTTCCTTAAGCCTGAACTACCAAACATTCAGTATTGTTGCCTCTAAATCTGGAATGCCTATAATCATACACAAATAAATTTATAAATGTGTCTAAGTGACTTTACTCCAATAGAGGTATTTTTCAGCCAAGCGGTCAGAGTATACAAAGGAGCTCACGGTGACTGCAAAGCGATTTAACCTGTTAGCAGTCGGACGTACCGCCCACGGTACATTGGATGGTTTAGGGGACTAATTGTAAATTTGTAGGACTGCTAAGGGGTTAATGTTCTAACTAAGGCCTGTAGAGTCTAACATATAGCATAAAGCTTCTGCTTTTACACAGGTGATCCCACATGTTGATGATCAAATATTCAGGTACATTTGATTAGCACCTCCTGCCTCTCACACTCTTGATTCTTAAACGAATAATAACGACTTGTTAATCTTTCTTTTATTATTGAAGATTATTTTTATATGTGCTGTGTATGTCAGGGGGAGATTTCTACAGCACTCTGCACTTGTTCACATTATGTTCTGTAAAGTCAATTTAAAATGAACTGTGGGTGGAAATATAAATGGGAACCCCCTTAGGAGACAGGCTTGACCTGCTTCTTTCAGGCTCCCTGACCGGTGACTTGCTACACTTTGACTTTCACAATTTACAAGATTAAGAAAAGAGAGACGGTGTGTCATTGTAAAACAGGCCAGACTGCCAATATTGTTCTTCTGCAACAGAAAAACAAACCAGCCCATCCCCTCTCTGACCACCTTTGGACTTTGTGTTTGAACATTTGACCATTTTTTTCGCCTGGTTTCCTCCTCAGTTACTTTTCTGTGCATCCACCAAGTGTCCAGGTGCGGTAAGGATTGATCTCGCTTTTATTTCAGGTGTCAGTGTCTGGTGAACAAAATAAGCAGTTAAATTGCAAAGTGCACATTATTTTTTATCTACAAGAAAATCTGTAATAAATTACGAAAAAATAACAACATGGTGAGTGTTGGCAGCATTTCGGTTTGATATTAATTGTGCTGTCTCATACATTTAATGTGTTTCTTACAGATTCTAGCTGCACAAACAATCCTGTGTTTACTCCACCTGCACTGATAGTGAAGTATGGTGACCCAGCCAATGCTACATGTGTTGTATGTGAGGTGGGATGCCATGGAAATCTTTCTGGTTTGGAGCACGCTGTGGGAAAAGTCACAGAATATATAACCACCTTGTTCTGGACAGTTGATAAACTGAATGAATGGGAAACATATGTCATGTGCTATTATAACACTGATGCTGGTGATCAGTGTTATAATAGCACTCTCAGTATAAATGTGTATCGTAAGTATGTTCATGTGACACTTGCTAGTGAGTTTTATATTTATAATCGGAATTTGATTTCTGTTGTATGTGTAAATATAAAGTCATTCTGCTGATGTTTTCAAGCCTCTAGCTTACATGTTGTTCTTTACATTTTTGTTTCTTTCCCTGTCGTCTCAGAGCCTCCAGAAAGTGTCTCCATCAGCTTTGTAAACCACACTGAGATGATGTTTGAGAATCAGCAGTACACCCTGCAGTGTAGCGTACAGAACGTAGCTCCTGTTCAAAGCCTCAATGTGACCTTCTACAGAGGAAACACAGCACTGGGTCACCTACAGTCCAACAGTGAACATAAGAAACCCGTGAATGAGACCTTCACTCTGAACATCACCCCCAGTAGAGAAGATGATGGAGCCCAGTACTGGTGCGAAACCAAGCTGGAGCTGAGACCAGCTGGACCACAGCCCCCTCCAGTGGTGACATCAGAAAGTGTCAATGTTACAGCCTACTGTGAGCATAAAAGAATGAACATTTCTTTTAGATTATATTTGTGTTATTTTTGTTTTTTGCTTTTATTAAAAAAAAAGACATTTCCATCATAAAGCCTTGTCCTGTGTTCTGTTTTGCTTCAGGACACTTGCTTCAGTTCCCTCGCCTCACCGTCATTCAGTTCAGTTGGTGTTATGTCTATATGCAGTTCCTCTGGAAATATTGCTGTTAATAATTCATGTGTTTTATATTCTATACAGTCAGACTTCATTGAAACAGTAAGATTGATGTTATTCACTCTTTGGGGATCCTGTTCTATCTCCTGTCCCTGCTAGGATCTCCTTCCTCTATGATGGGTCATCAGATACTTTTTCTTACTGTGGACACATTGTCGTTTTTTATAGTATAGTATTTTATAGTAGTAAAGAAAGAGAACTTTTCTGTCATTTAGTTGTTTTTCTTTCACTTAATTACTTTGCGAAAGCATGAACAGCCATAAGAGAAGTTCATGCTGTAACACTTAAGAAACAGTTAAAAGTCCAAAATGTTTCTCTCCTTGCATTCAACAGCTGTCAAACCTTTTTGTAAACCTCAAAAGTCTTTTTCATGTTTATTCGCATTTCTGCTCTTATTCACAAACACTTTGTTATTTGACCTCCATCAGTTTCCGGTCTCTGTAATAGATCTGTCCTTCTGATGGCCTTGTGAGGATTATCACATCTTCTGGTTTAACTCTCCTTGCCTCTGATGGCCCTCAGGCTTTTATTCGAGGCTTTGTCTTGTCTCTCCTGACATCTTCAAGTCTTCGTGAAGCCTTTTTGCCATCAGTTTCAATCTGTATCCTTCTCAGTAACTTTTCCTCCCCATATTCTGTTCATGCATTACGTCAGTCTGTCCTTAACGTTGAGCTGCAGCTAATGTCATGTGACATTAGAGTTGTTTCTCCCTGCCACGGTCTTATGTTTTGGCGGGGGGGGGGGGGGGGGGGGGGGGTGGAGAGTCCACTTTGCTCTGCAGCTTCATCAGACTTCAATCAACAACTACTTCCTTACTTACATCTTTTCCTTTCTTTTCAACTCTTGTCAATCACTCAATGTTTCAATTCTTAGTATTTTTAAAAAGTGCTTCTCAGGTGGGGTATCAGCCCCTAAATTATGCTCAGATCACACTTTTGGAATAGGTGCTGCTACTTCTGCAACCAGATTTCCTCAATATTTAATAACTGAGCTGCTGGTCATCATCAAGCTATTTGTCGTACATCAGTTTTGACTCTGATGTCATCTTTTTACCTCAAAAAAGTCCTGGTAAGCCATGACATAGAGCTGGTGGTGGTAACAAACTCTTTTCCATTTATATCCACATTTCTGTTCGTCTTTACAAAAACTTTCTCTAAACTTTGTATAATAGCCTCTCCTGGCCTCCAATTACCTCTGAGCCTTATTACAGGCTCTCTTCTTACCTCTCTTTATGGACTGATAGCTCTCAAGCCTTTGTTTCATTGCTGACTTCATTACTATACTCCAGTCATGTTCTTGCCCACCTTGTGTGAGCCAATCAGCTCCTATTCCATATACTTTATATCTCATTGCTCTTCTGTCATCCTGCCTGTCAGATTCTCGTTTGTGTAACCTTTGTCTCACCCCTTTCCCTCAGAGCTCCATCCAAGCCTCCATCTTCATCTCTGGGGGAGTCCCATCCTAACTCCTATCACTGCTGGGATCCTGTTGTGATTTGATGGGTCATTGGCATTTAATCATCAAACTGTGCATCTCTGTATCTTTGCCTCAATAAATGTCTTGCTGATGCCTTTGGTTTATTTGGTTTAGCTTAAGTACAAATGTCAAATTTCTAGTTTAGTTATTTCATTTCAGATTCTGGTGTTTGCTTGTGATGGGCATTATTTTCAAACAATGTCAACCTTTGGTTATAATAGACGATGCATATTTTCCACTGGTGGCTACATCATTTTTAACAAACCAGCAAAAGTGCACAGTCCTTTAAATCCATGCAATAAGGTTTCTAGAGACCATCTAAAGCAGAGTTGGGCAATTAATTTAACATGACAAACTGGATCGCATCACTAAGCTGAACTCAGTTCTGTTCAATATTAATTTGATCTTTTTTCAAAGTGTTGGTGAGAGTCGAGGCCACAGTTAGGCAATTAAAGATAAAACAGACAGTGTTAACCAGTATTCACCCAAATAACTGTGAACAACATTTGCCCATGAAACACACTATATTATGCTATATTATGAAAGAACAGGTAACTATAGCTGTCATAAAAATGTGGTCAGGCCAAATTGCAGCAGCTTCCCTGATCATTTTACTAAGATAAGTGAAGAGAAAATGATCTAAATATCTTAGCCCAGCACCAATTTAGCTCTTTATTTAATAACTGCAAATCTCCATAGATAATTCCAGTCAGTTTCCACACCTATGTGCCAGGTAATTATGTTTAGTTGATATTTTTATTCATTGGTACAGCACACAGCCATTACACTAGGATATTTAGATCATTTTCTCTTTATTTTTTATGTACTTCAAAGGTCAAAATATTCACAACCTGAACCTAAAATTTCTCTTAATATACCAAAGTTATGATGCATTAAAAGTCTGCTGATTTTGGGACTTTTCCAGATTTGCTTGTCTTTATGTGGAGTGGCACACTTTACAACATTTCTCTTTGCTTGTTCTAACGCTGCCTCTCGTTCTTCGTCAGTTCTAAAAGCCGTCGGCTCGGCCTCGGCTATCGCCTTCAATGTGACGGCCTACCATCGCTCGCTGCGCTCCTTCCTGCCTGCCAAAGAAAACCAGAACATAACCTCATCAGTCATCTACTTCATGTGGATCCTGGTGCTCTTCTCTTCTCGTCTCACTGCCCCTCGCTCTTTTCGCCTCCGTGCTGCTCTGCTTCATCTGACTGATATTTGCATCCTCTGTGCTGTGTGGTGCTGGAAGATGAGCACACATCCTCCTGATTTTGTAAAAGAGTCCATGTCAGCTTTAATTATAGCTGCCTGTGTTGTTGCAGTTTATGTCCTATGTCTAATATTTAAATTTATTTATTATAGTCTTTCATCCAAACCCCGAAAAAGACAACACAGAGCAACAACCCGAAGATGAGGTGGGATTTTGTATGCTTGTCCCTGCACCAAAGATTGCAGACCACCGTCCATCCTCCCCATCAGCACACTGCAATAAAAGAATGAGGAAGTTGGCTGAGAACGTCTACTGCTGACGTGCACTTGACATCCACAGGACGACTAGAAAGAGATCGAGTCATGCAGAATGTTTTCATCTAGATCACGTGGCTGAGTTTTGTAGCACTCTGACCTTTGTCTGATTTAGCCACAGATATAATGTCTCAAGGCATTACTCATCTGAATGTGGAGATGAAATTGAATATGCACTTTCTGCTGTGCATTAAATCATTTCACTGTGTGTCAAACCATTTCAAGATATCAGTCTTTAAATTAAATGAGAGGCTTTAATTATTAAATCTGTATTAAATAGTTGTTGTTTACATGTGAAGAGATCCTTTTTCAAAGGCTATTTCACTGGATCATCTTTTCTAAAGAATCTAACAGGTTAAATGAGGATAAAATTATTGTCAGCAGTGACTGAGTCTGCCATCCCACCTACCACAAAGAAGGTTTATATGACTGTCCATGAGATCGGTCTCACTGTGATTAGCACTGGAATAACTTACTGCTACTAAACACTGAGCATGCGTGTCAACAAAAAACAGACATTTATAGGAATTTTTCCTCTTCACTCAGTTAGCTGGTAGATGGCAGGCATCTGACTGTGTAAACTGCTGTAAATGTGTCACAGTGCTGGATCTGCGACCCAGTGTTTTGTCTATTTTAGTTTTTTTTGTTGATAACTGTATTTTTCTCCATGTTTCTGTTTTATTTTGAAAGAGTCTGATGTGTTCTTGTTCGTTGGTGTTAGTTTGACTTTCCCTGTGACGTCATGTTTCATTTCAGTCAGCTGTTTTCCTCATGTGTTTTCACTTCCCCTGAACACATCCAGTGTGTTCATAGTTGATTATAGTTTTTCACAGCCTGTCTTAGTTGTACCTAGTTTTTCATAGTTTCATGTTAAACACCGTGACGCATCAACATGTGGCCATGCAATAAAGCCCTTCCTTACCCATATCAGTAAAGGGGCTCTGTAGCTTCATGATTAGTTTGCGTTTTTTATTCCTTCACTTTGATCTGTGTTTGTGGACATATAATGTGTGTAGCAGGACCTGGTTTGTGGCACGCTTGTGGGGGAGGCTGACACAGCGGAGCTCCATCAGTTCATCACCCCTCCCCTGCATAAGACGTGCTGGGACCTGAGGTTGTGTTGTTGTTGTGTGTGTGTAGCTGGCAGCTGGGGCTGAGGGTTGGAAGAGACAAAAAATGAGTAAAAAGTGTAGTAAAGTGCGATCTGTGTGGTCGGGTCCGTCATTCACCGTCACTGTGTGCAATGTACACTTTCCATTAATCTCATAGTGGAAAATTCATGGAAATCAAAGTCAAATGTTTATCAGTTGAAGAATCAGACTCCTTTTAAACATTATATTTGTACTAAATGTGTATGTAAATATGGTGTCTGTATATTTAATGCCTATATTTGTGACTGTGTTTCTGTTGTAGTTTATTCCTGTATGAAT